AGGGTGAAGATGATACAATTAAAAGCTGTTTGTAAATACGAGGTCATTCACCCCAGTATTTGATGAAGTTTATGCTGGGATATTGTAGGTAAACTTGTCTGAGTCAGTAGGTAAACTTGTCTGAGTCAGTAGGTAAACTTGTCTGAGTCAGTAGGTAAACTTGTCTGAGTCAGTAGGTAAACTTGTCTGAGTCAGTAGGTAAACTTGTCTGAGTCAGTAGGTAAACTTGTCTGAGTCAGTAGGTAAACTTGTCTGAGTCAGTAGGTAAACTTGTCTGAGTCAGTAGGTAAACTTGTCTGAGTCAGTAGGTAAACTTGTCTGAGTCAGTAAGTCTGAGTCAGTACTTAGTCACTTTAGATTTAGATTGCCGGGCTAGTTTGTTGGGCACCCCCTTACATCCTGTGCACGGTGAAGCGCAGAAACGTTTACAGCGCCCATCTGGGAAGCATGCGGAGTTCATGCTTGCCGTTATGACTCATGAATTAAGGGCGTAAAATCCTGAAGGGTCATGGGTTTTGTCAGCAAGTTACATAAAGTGACAGAATGAGGAGTGTGTGGGGGGAAAATTCCCGGTACAATTTATCTGTTTATGGCAAAGTGTGGCAGGTCCTAATAATGTCAAGTGCCAGGCCTGTCACTAGGAGGAGGGATATCTGGTCAGGGTGGGAAGAGGTGTTGGTAACGGCTGGGGACCTGTAGGAGGAGGTCCTAGGGCAAGTGAGGATGTAGTGAGAGAGGGTGTGAGAGTCGGGTTGACCACAAAGTTTACAAACAGTGCGGCCAGGCTAAGGGTTGCCAATGTACTAGGCGTGGCGAAGTACAATGAGGGTGGAGGTGATATGGTGTGGTGGGGCAGTTACAGTAGGGGTGGAGGGAGACACATAGGCATTGACAATATTGAGGGACATACCTTTTAGTGTGATTGTGATGGCGTGGGCGTCGATATGTTGGTGAGGTACGGGTAGTTGGGGGTGGTGGCCTCAGGTCCAATAGGTAGCCCTGGTGGAGACAGCACAGACACAGTAGCGGGCGCGACTTGTGGTGGGTGGAGGACAGGTTGAGGCACCACATGTCGTGAAGATGAGGCAGGACTTCGCTCGGGGGCAGCAGGACACACCAGGGAAGGCCCGGTAGGCACTACACCAGTAGTGAAGGCCGCCGGCGGTGGAGTAGGCCGTGAGCAGGGGGGGCTCACAGGGGGACTACCAGCTTGTGTCAAACCAGAAGAGAGGAGTGACTGGATGGCAACAGAGGGCAAGAGTAGGTCAGAGATGGTGGTACAGAGTGTAGCGAAGAGTTTTTCAATACGGTTGGTAAATTCTTGGAAGAGGGATATGATCTGTGTCATGTCACTGGAGGGGGGTTGTGGGGGGGCACCGGTGGGAGCACAAGGCCTGACAGCTTCAGAGTAGAGACGGGGAGGAGGCCCAGTAGTAGTTGAGTTAGGAGACGGCCGGGACTGCTGTGCTGCAGCCAGGTGAGGCCAGGCAGGGGCAGGTGTTGTTGAAGAAGGAGTCGTTGCTGGAGACAGGGGGAACGTAGAGGGAGGCGACCTGGTAGACTGGGGGAGGGGACGTTGTGGTAGACGCGGCCTTCGGGGAGGCTTTTCCCCTGGGACAGACGGACGATTGGAGCATTGCCGTGAGTTAGCATTGTGCCGGCCGCCACAGTTACAACACCTGGGATCAACCACATAGCCCACACCACCCCCATTAAGGTGGTCTTTGATTTTCTGGGCACAGGCGGCGGAGTTGTGGTTACGTGAACAGAAGCGACATCTGGGACGATCACGTCGGCAGCAGGCTGTGAAGGTGTGACCCCAATGAGAACAGATAACACAAAATGCAAGCCCGGGATGATAGGGTTCTGCATAAAGTGGAGGGAAGATTGGGTGGGCCTCCACAGTGGTTGGGCATTCCCTTCCCTTCCACTTGACAATGACAGCAGCTTGTGGGATGTTCCCCCGGTAATGTCGACGTATACTGAGTATACTAGAATTAAAGTCACGTGCATCTTCGATGTCAGCGTATAGGGAGAATCGTTTCACTAGGATGTGGCAACATTCATCAGCGTCTACTCTACTGGGGAGGGGCACCAGGACAACCCCGTCAAAGCCAACAGTGCTAAGTGTTCCATAGACCTCAGGAGTCTGACACCTGATAAAGTTCCGGTTCTTACCTTGTCGGAATTGAATGTTGAGACCGTGTTGTCTGCAGTACTTCATCATCCAATTAAACCGTTCCTCGATGGTTTTCATTAAGTCTTTGGGGAAGTGCAGATTCAGCTTACTTGGCTGGTTGGCAGAGGGCAGGGTGATAGGGTCTGTGGCATTGGTGTTTCCACTCCGGCTAGTGTTTCCCATAGAAACATTACCGTCATTGTCATAATCACTGGGGTCTGACTCTTGAAGGGTGTTGGATTCAGTATGATCAGGCGAGTTGGCGATGGCATCCGTATCAGAGATGTCTGCGTCCATGAGAGAGCCTCTTCTGGGACGTTTATGTCGACCCCCCATGCTAGCAAAACCTTGCCGGCTGAGGGGACCTTTGTTGGACGATCGGGAAGTCAAGAGCACCTATGGGCACGTCTGTCCCCTTATGTGGTCACGCCGCGACTGTGACTTAGTCACTTGTCATCTTGTACTCAACCTGTGGACTATCAGGTCACAGGTCATCTCCTACTCAACCCATGCAATATATCAGGTCAGAGAGGTCACAGCAGGTCATCTCGTACTCAACCCATGCAATATATCAGGTCAGAGAGGTCACAGCAGGTCATATCGCACTCAACCCATGCAGTATATCAGGTCAGGGCGGGTCATTACTCACACACACACACTCCAACTCTCAACAAGTTAGCCAGCATTTTCTTGCCATCTCGCCGACCGTGTTAGGAATTTTTAAACCGGTCATGTCCAGGAAGGGAGAATACCTGCAGCACAACTTGTCGGAAACACTTCATAACTTCGTCTCGTTTCACCCAAAACTTGTCGTCTAAGTTACCTTCTTTGTGATATAATTACCGTCAGTTAGTTAGTTAGTTATTTAATCAGTCAGTCAGTCAGTTTAGTTTAGTTTAGTTTAGTTTAGTTTAGTTTAGTTAGGACTGAAACACCAAGTTATAGGCCTCTAAATTCATAATATTTACGTCAGGTTAAGGAAGATTTTAAGACAGTTTAGATCTTGGTTATAAAAAGGGATTTATCTTTTTTTTAGACGGTAGATAAGAATAAAGATAAGGAAGTTGATGAGATAAGATAGAGTATGGTGCTTTGTTGACCTTCTAATGGCTTCGTATGATGACCTTTGACTTAACTTTTCTGGATAACTGAAGCTTCATTACATGGGTAGTATTACACACACACACACACACACACACACACGTATATTTTCAGCTTATGACTGCTATATTTTTTTAATTAAACGTTTGTTATTATTAATAGTAGTATTTTGTTGTTGTTTTTAGTTGTATATGCCTTTGTTATATTTCTGTAAACACGAACATCAAGGGACTTTATAAACACGAGCATCAAGGGACTTTATAAACCCCATGAGAGAAGAATGTCCTTGGAAATTACTATTACATTAATCACACAATAGGAAACTTACACTGTCATAAAATTCCAAACATCAAGGGACTTTATAAACACCTTTTGTGTCTGTTCTTGCGTCAAGTGTTCCATAATTGAGTGAGAGAGAAATTGAGGGATGGAGGGGGGGGGGGTTGAGGGGAGATTGAGGGGTGTTGTTGGGGGAGGGGCATAGAAAATCATCAACTGCTTGCCTTAATGACTATAATAAACCTGATTAATTACCCGGCTCCTTGGGGCTGGGCTAATGAACGCTACTTGTCTGTGCTAATGAGCCGAGATGAGTAATGCTCTTATGCTATATTTGTTTATTCATTTAAGTAACTCTGGAAATATTCTTGCATCATTAATCAAAGTGTGGCGCGCGCGTGAACTGGGGCCTGCCAACTTGTGATGCGCGCTGCTACATACATTAATTATTTCTCTTGTATTAAAAGGATAACGTTATATATTTCATGTAATTTTTTTATTTTTTTTTATTTATGATTTTTGGTGTGTGTGTGTGTGTGTGTGTGTGTGTGTGTGTGTGTTAGAGGCATTGTGTCAGGGGCATTGTGTCAGGGGCATCTCACTCTGGCATACAGCATGACGCACTCTGCTGTCTTTGGCATTGTCTGTCTTAAGAATATAATCTGTCTAATTTAACTGTCTTGAGAATGATCTTTCATCTGCTCTCTTGGTCCTTGATGGATTAGACAGACCGACCGACCGACCGACCACGTATTCGCTCTACCGACATTCATTACTATTTTGTTTTGTGTTGGCGAAAGTAACCATCTCACCTGAATATTAGACACCCCAGCTTATTCCCCCTGAAGACTAACTACCACTAACTTACCCTACCACTAAACCTAATTTAACCTATCCCACCCTAGGTAACGTTAGGGTGTCTAATATTCAGGTGAAATAAGCTCAGGGTGTCTAATATTCAGGTGAAATAAGCTCAGGGTGTCTAATATTCAGGTGAAATAAGCTCAGGGTGTCTAATATTCAGGTGATTTACTTCACTGTATTCACACTCAATAAAATACACTTAACCAATAATAATAATAGAGTTCAAATACCTTCACGTTATTTTTATTAACAATTCATTAAAAAGTTGAATCAATTTACGATCATTAAATGCAATGGTGCTAAAGGAATATAGTTAATAAATAGCCACACGTATATTATATTGTATTTTACTCTACAATAACCAAATCACTATCAGCTTGTCGTAAATTCTCAACTGGTTCACTAACAGCCAAACCACAGGGGGGAATGGGGGTAGGGGGGGGATACAGCTATTTACCCTATGTATTAAACTCCGGCACCTGATTGGTAGTATCTTTAAAGGGGAGTAATTAAGGTATGTATTATTGTCTACCTGTGTTTATGTATCCTCAGGTATGAAGGTGAAGTAAACAACCAGTTGATGATATTTTATCTATTGATTTTCTTCACAGGTGTGTCCCTTGAGACATACATTAATATTAGCTAAAGATAGCACAGGTGTTGATACTTCCAGTTAGTATAAGAGTCAACACACTGATCGATCTCTGAGTACTGTATAGCCTAGACTGACACACACGCTTCACTGAAAACTGAAGACAAATGACTAAATCAGATTAAGTAGATAACATTGTACCAGTTTCTTGGCTTATGTTAGTTATTTGTCGCCACCATGATGTTGATAGTTTGGTGGGTGTAGGAGTCATCAGTGTGTTGCGTGTAGGAGTCCTCAGTGTGTTTCCTGTAGGAGTCATCAGTGTGTTTCCTGTAGGAGAACTCAGTGTGTTTCCTGTAGGAGAACTCAGTGTGTTTCCTGTAGGAGAACTCAGTGTGTTTCCTGTAGGAGTCATCAGTGTGTTGTCTGTATGAGTCCTCAGTGTGTATTGATAGGAGGGTGAGTTGAACCTAGTGGGTGGCTGGGTGCTCACCAGATGGCGCTTCTCCAATAATACACAATAAATCGAGTGGTAACTACAACTTGCTCATCGGACGCTCACAGATGGCTCGCCTCTCGTTCTCACACGGGAAGTCAGTAAGCGGATGCTCCCAGCCGTCAAACAAACCCACACATTGACCATTGCCCGAAGGTTCGTTGGTGTGCCAGTCGTTGGGATTAATGAGATCACCAGAAAGCCACTGCCACACTTTCTCACGGTTCACGCCTCCAATCCAGAAGTTGCGATGATTCTTACGTGCTGTTAATAGCAAAAAAATCAAATCAAAACGTCAATTCTTCCTTATATAAAGTATCATATCAAAGATTCCTATCAGTAGAAGACCTACACTTGATCTACTCTCATTAGACCGAGAGGTGTATGCTTCCGGTCAAGGGATCTCTCAGGTAAAATATAATATAATATCAACAATATCAGATTGCAACACCTTGATACAACTTTGGTTAGTTCACTTGTGTTAGCACGATATTAAATCAGGTATTATAATGACATTCTGTTCAAGGGATTAAATCATCGTACTCAAGGGGTTAACTCATCATATTCAAGAGGTTAATTCATCATACTCAATGGGTCATGGTGAAGTAATTATAGTGACCCCAGGATGGTATGGGTAAAGGATAGACACCATAGGAGAGGAAGTGCCAACTCACGGTAACGGGTGCCAACGTAGTGCCGGAGGAGTGTCAGGTCATCAGGCTGGGCGAGGTCAGCACCCATACTAAGACACTTTTGACGATTTGCTTCCCAGGACGCATCCACCAAGATCACTGAGATACAGTCACTGCCCACCTGCACGAAGGGCGGGGAGCACACCAGCACTGTCCACACCAACCATCATCATCATCATCATCATCACCAACATCATCATCATTATCATCATCATCATCATCATCATCATCATTATCATTGGAGTGTATTTTAGAATCTGGACAATTTATACTCACAGGGAAGATAGCGTTTCATCATAGCGTTAAGGGTCTTGAGTTCTGTAGTAATCTCAACCATTTGTGTGTTGTTACCTGCGTGGGGAAAGGTGTTATATAATATTAACCTGTTTTGCCATCTTTGTGTGTGTGTGTGTGTGTGTGTGTGTGTGTGTGTGTGTGTGTGTGTGTGTGTGTGTGTGTGTGTGTGTGTAAGTAATATAAGAATGAAACACTATACCGCCTGTAACCATATCGTCGACAGAATACCTCTAACATTTTATAGTTCCACACAAGAAAATTTCCCGTCTGTTATCTGTCTTTACCCGTCCATGTCACACCACTTACTCTCGTCTCATCTCGTTGGGGACGAATAAACCTTCCCTGGAGCGTTATGACGGTGGTGTGTGTGGCGGGGCGGGGCGTCACCACCACACGCCAGCTCCCGAGAACCTCTTGTTATTGCCTCACATTTATTGTAGCTAGTGGGGAAGAGGGGGGGACGAGATGTCAAGACGCGAGGAGTTAAAGTCTGTGGCCTGCTCTTATTGTGTGTGTGTTTAGTAGTAGTAGTAGTAGTAGTAGTAGTAGTAGTAGTAGTGGTGGTGACGTATGGTGGTGTGTGGTAGTGGTGGGTATGGGTGTGTAGACATTATGGTGTGGTGGTAGAGGTGGTCGTTTTACGTGTTGGTGGTATGTGGTGGTAGAGGTTTTGTGGTTGTGATGTTAGGTGGTAGTATAGTAGTACGTGGTTGACTGTAGCAATGATGGTTGTGGCAGTGAAGCTTAGCAACGCGTCAGAATGTGTGAGGAATGTTTTGTTATCAAGAATCTGTACACGTGAGGATAAAGAAAGCAATCCTCCACAGGTGTACTATCCAATCACATGAAGGGACATTTTTGGTTCTTGTTTTTGATTGGTAGTTGATGACAGTCTGTACAGTCAACACCTAGAACCCGAAACAGCTAGAAAGAGTACAGGTGTTGGAGTAAATATTAAAGAGAGAGAGAGAGAGAGAGAGAGGTCGTAGGGGGGTGTAGATTGGACAGGTGCATGTGTGTGTAAAATAAATCAAGTCTCAGTAAAGATTATACAGACCAACGCCTTTGAAATACACACACACACACACACACACACACACACACACACACACACACACACCTGAGTGGTTCATGTGGTGTTTTATGGCGTTCACGACCTGGAGGGTGAAGAGGGCCATGCTGGAGCCATTTGACACTGCCGACTCCTCAGGCATGGTGGAGGAAGTACCTGAAGGAGAGGAAGAAGGAGGAATAGTTATCAATACTCATCAATGATTTATATAAGTAAATCTTGAATAGTTCTCGTGCAATTTGCGATCTACTACTACTACTACTACTACTACTATCCCACCTTAAAATTGCTTCACTGTGTCACTGTAACACTGTATCACCGTCACTGTCATACTACATCGTGTATCACTCACCGTCATTTGTTGAAGTGTAGGCGGGTCCTCCCTCCAGCAACTCCTGTAGTCTGGTCTGTGTGGTCAAGATAGACGCAAGACTTTGACTCAGCTGCTCATTCATTTCTATAAACGAGTAAAAAAAAGTTATTAAAAAAAAAAAACTAAAACAAATAATAGAAAAAAATAAGTAATGAATGTCTTAGTAAAACAACAAAGAAAAGTTGATAGATATGGATTAAAATTACGTTAATAAGCTTTCATGTAAAATTAGTCTAAGTTAATATTTGAGTTATAGTTCGTTCCTTAACCTAACATAACCTACCCTACCCTACCCTACCCTACCCTACCCTACCCTACCCTACCCTACCCTACCCTACCCTAAGTACTATATAGCCCTGAGGACACCCACCAAAGGGCCATCGTCTCCTATGGTATTTATTCTCCTGCTAAACATCAATATGTACCTGACCTCATCCTCCACCGCCTCTCGACACATACAAGTATTTTCTTTTCATCACATATTTCGTAACAGCTGCGGGTGGGTCTTACTTCCAACAGCCATTTCTCACACACTTCAACCTTTATCGCACCGCTGTCTGAGAAGGTAGAGTGTGTGGGTAGTGGACGGCATGCTGGTATAGAGGAAGCAGCTCAACTCCCATCTCCACTATCACGGGACATTACCATCCCTTCCCCCCTTCCTTCCCCTTCCATCTCTCCCCCTACCCCACCCCTCTTCCCTCCTTTATCTACTCATCCAAACGTTTCACCTTTTTTTTTCGGTTTTTCCTATTCCCGTTACTTGTATCTCTCTCCTTCTCTCCTTCCTCTTCCTCTCCTCTACTTATGATCGCTTACAGATTACTGAGGTAGTGTAGGTAGCATGTCTCTCTTACCACGACGAGGGAGTGTAGGTTGTCTCTGGGCCGGGAGGTGAAAACTTTTGGCTTCTCATATATAAACGATGATGATACTAAAGGTCAGCCAAACAGAGCAGAGCCCCAGGAGGTGTGATACTAGACTACAGTAATAATAGAACCTACGTGAGATCTCAATACTTGGTTGGGGGGAAGTTGGAAGCATCGTCGTTGTTAACCATTGCTGAACGTACGAACGGACGCTCGAACAGACGCACGAACGGACACAAGTGGATAGGTCAGAGACATGCGTAAATTCACCTCCCAGGACAGAAGGAATTTGATCCAATAGACCTGAGGAGACATTTCGAGGTAGTGTGGATATAGTACACTGAATACTAATCCTTCGGTATATAAGGTGGCAGTAAAGTATGGCCGCCACTACACTCAACCACCTCCAATAATCCTTAATTAAACTCAGGTACCTATTCACAGAAGGGACATCCTCGAGTGGCCAAGGAGTGGAACTAAGAAGACAAGAAGAGCGTTGTATCCACTCACCCACGGCCCACGATAAGAAGCAAACAAAAACAATGATCATTTAAAATCTCGAACCTTTGTCAGAACGGGAGAGTTGGTTCAGGGTCTCAGTCAGATCGCCAATGGCATTGTAGGAGTTAGGGTCGTCTGCTTGTTGGCTATGGTGGCGTGATGGTGTGGCGTTCACCATCACAGCAGCCACCATCACCAGCCACACACCGTACACCGTCATCGTCCACCACCACACTGCTGTCTACCACACCTGAAAGAAACGCGGATTTAATTACCTAGAATAAAGGCTTAATGATATTAGTTATTGAGGTGTATAATACGTTATAACATCAACAACAGAGAGAGAGAGAGAGAGAGAGAGAGAGAGAGAGAGAGAGAGAGAGAGAGAGAGAGAGAGAGAGATTAGATATGATTTTTAAAAGTTGTTGTTTAGTATAAGAATACATACACACATACATACATTAATGGTTGCCCCTCGTGCAACGAAGATGGCCGTCCCTAGGGCCACCTATAGACGTGAATTTGTTTAAGGTGTAGAAGCTGTCGCCAACACAACGACCACACCCTGAGTTGACGAGTTGCATGACCCGGTGTCTAGGAATAGTCCGAGAAGACCGGACAACTCGCCAACTACACTGGCTAACCATTACCCTGGAATACGATCCGCAATTACTGCTGGGTAAACAGAGGCAACTGGCGTAAAGAAACTTGCCCATAGTTTCACCCTGCCCGGGAATCGAACCCGGGTCCGCTCGCTTGCGAGGCGAGCATGTTGACCATTACACCACATTCATACATACATACAAACGCTTTAACTCACCTTCGGGTAAAAATCGAATAACGCTTTTCTCTCTCCTTCTCCTCTTTCTCTGAGTGGAGGTGTGGCCTTGCTGATGCTACTGCCGCTGGGATGGTAATGGCACTCTTGAGGTAGTGCCAGGCTGGGAGTAGAGACCCAGAGGGGAGAAA